AAAGCTTGCAATAAACAGAATTCGGATTCAGCTTGCAACCACATTGGTCGTGTGCTTTATCCGCTCCGCATGGGACCCCACAGATTAATTGGTAATGTTCATAAAATGCTTTGAAAAACACATGGACCTGATCCAACACCCACTGATATCAATTCAAAGATTCCCATTTTGACTTCAAATGGGAATGAGCCCTAAATAAGTGTGAAGTATCCCAACCCCCTACTCTTTACAACTGAACTATGCCAAAGTATTCATTAAATTTAAGCTTTTAATTTTTTCTCTTTATGACAATACAAGTTGGTTGTCTTTTCATGCTAGTATGCACTGAAAGGTCCAATGTTTTCTTTATAGCCTCTGATGCAACTTTGCTACTTTAGGATTTTATAAATTAGCTATTTCAATTTACTCTTCTATATCTGGTTTTGAAGAATAGCAGCACTGCCACCAATACCTCAGAGTGTTGGTTTGGATTTTTCAAACTCTGTGTCACTGTAGCACGCAGCTATTTTTGGTGAGCATGACATGGTCAGCTTTTGAAAATATTTGTGCAATGTTTCTTGTTTTTATTTATCTAACTGTCCCCTTCTCAATAATAAGTTGCTTGGGTTAAGCAAAGAGGGAGTGTGCGAAGTAAAGAGACCAGAACAGAAAGATAGGAAGAAGCTAAATTGTGGAAGGCCTTGGAGAATAAAATGAGATACTTGAATGTGATACAGGATAGAACATAGAATTAGTAAACAAATATTTGGAATATTTAAGATATTCCTGACCTTACTACACAAATGTTAAGGACTCTCAGATATTGGACCTAAGTTGTGTTTCACTTATAACAGAGGTGACTCAAAACTAAATATTAATGGGAGTCTTGTAGTTGGAGGTCTGTGAGCTCTTCAGCTCAGAATTTGCTCATCTTACTGCAGGAATAATAAACTCATGATTCGGGAACAGTATGCGGCTCCACTGGAAAAACACTTAGCCGTATGGAGTGGAAAAACACTGTAGCTCTTGTCAGTCACCTGGAGCACTGTGTTCAGTTCAAGTCACCCTTGAGGGGGAGGGGGAAGGAGGGGAGCTGTCAGCAAGTATGTCTGTAACAATACAGACCCCCCCCCCAAAAAAAAAAGATTCTGGTGATTTTTTTTTGATGAATAGATTCCTTACTAGGCATATTAATACAGAACTTTGTGTAATTCATTTAAATTACAATACAGAATTGTATTTCCTGCACCTATGAGAAGCAGTACTAAGGCTTGGGGGAGTCAGGGATAACAGAGGAGCTCAGGGAGAGGGAAGGAGCCTAGGAGTGAGCCTGGAGGGAGTTGGGTGTGAGTGGGAGGTTTTCCTTTGGGGGGAGGGGATATGATTGTTAGGGTGTTGGGAAACCTCTCCCATGCAGACCCTGGCTGATCCCAAGCCTCTCCCATTCAGTCAGGCAGATCTTCCCCTGTCCCCGCATTCCTCATCCCCATAGGTCTCTGCAGCCCCTCTCCCCCGTCCCAGGCTCAATGCTGTCACCCCACTAGGTCCTGAGCCCATGTTCCAGTCTGTCCCCCTCACTAACTATTCTGAACCCCAGTCTCTGACCCCCTCCCCCCCAGCAGCTCTGTTTGTCCCACTCTGTCCTAACCTGGCTCTGCGGGCAGGGTTCTGTGATGAACTCTACTCCTGGGGGAATTCTGCAGCAATGGGCATAGACTTTTGTATTTTCCCACATAAAAAACATTTTGCTTAAGAAGTGCTACAGTTCTGCCTTTTGCCCACCGGAGGCCGCCAACCAGCTGTTCTAGCGCCACAGCAGCCTCTGGTGGGCAAAAGGTGGAACTGGAGCACTTCTTAGGCAAAATGTTTTTTATGCAGTAAAATACAAAATTATGCGAGACAGATGAATTCTGCACATCCGCAGATGTGCAGAATTCCCCCAGGAGTAGATTAAGAAATGATGACTAAGGAGTTTACAAAATAATGAATGGTAGAGAAAGTGAATTGAGTGTGCCTATGTATCTTTTTTCATAATGCAAGAACAGGAAGCATTCAGTTAAATTAATAGGCAACACATTTAAAATATTTTTTAGATGGTGTAGCTTGTTGCCACAAGATATGATGGAGGCCAAGAGTTTGATTAAAGAAGCATAGACATATATATATACTGAAAATCTCCACAGTTACATAGCTAGCATAAGAATTTTTCGTTAATATAAATATTGCAAAGCTTCATGCTTCAGGGCATAAGCCAGCCAGGGGTTAGGAAGAAATTTACCTTATGGGGAAGTGGACCACTATTTTGGGGGTGGGAGGGAGGAGGAGGAGGGAGTGGAAGGGGTTGGTACCTTCCTTTGAAGCCTCAGGTACTAACTAATACCACAGTCAAGTTAAAAGAACAGGAGTACTTGTGGCACCTTAGAGACTAACAAATTTATTAGAGCATAAGCTTTCGTGGGCTACAGCCCACTTCTTCGGATGCATACAGAGTGGAATAAATATTGAGGAGATAGATATACACACATACAGAGAGCATAAACAGGTGGGAGTTGTCTTACCAACTCTGAGAGGCCAATTAAGTAAGAGAGAAAAAAAAAAACTTTTGAAGTGATAATCAAGATAGCCCAGATAATCAAGACAGTTTGATAAGAAGTGTGAGAATACTTACAAGGGGAGATAGATTCAATGTTTGTAATGGCTCAGCCAGTCCTTATTCAATCCTTTGTTGATTGTGTCTAGTTTGCATATCAATTCCAGCTCAGCAATCTCTTGTTGGAGTCTGTTTTTGAAAACAGTCAAGTTACTGGATCACTAGTCAGGTCTGCTATGACAATTTCTTTGTTCCTGAATTCCCCATTATCTATAGCTCCAAACACTAAGAGGAAACTATTTATTGTCCCAATTTGGTCCCCTCTGGGATGGAACACAGCAGTTGTTTAGAAGTACACAATAGCAATGTTCAGGAGCTTAATACAGAAAGTTAAGAATACCATGTCCATCTATAACTGCAAGAAAATATGTAAGTAGAAAGTAATTGCCCTTGCTGGAACATGGTCATGTTACTAGGGTTAATGTTTCCACTCTATGAAATTCACTATGGGATCTTTATTGACGGCAGTTGGTCAATAAAGATCTCCCTAACAACATAAAATCTGAAGATATCTTTGGTCTGTAGGACAAAATCTTGGCCTCAATGAAGTCAATGGGAGTTTTACCATTAATTTCAATGGGACTGAGATTTCACCTATGGATTTTTCTTTTACCACTGTGTAAGATCAACAGTTCAAAACTATTTGTACTTTTGAGACAACCAGTTTTCAATATGGAATGGTGTATGGTTTTCCCACTGTTCACCATTTTAAATAATTAATTTTTTTAGTTTCATATTGATGAAAGCATGTGTGTAATTATTTTTTGTAAGATGATTTTCACTGTCAAAAGGAATGCTCCCTTTGTGAGTATTGAGGGTGATCAGGGAGTTCTGAGGAAGGGGACAGGCAGGGAACAACATCACATTGCCAAGTTATTTAATTGCATATTCTATGTTAATGTACCTGCAGTTATATCCTCGGTATGGTTGGATTTTAAAGGGGGTAGTTTGAATGATGATATCAAGTAATTGCTGTATTAATGCATCTCTATGTAAGCTGTCCATCTTGTTGTCCTCCTCTTTGTAGGTTAATTCATGCCATGTTGACCATTTCATCTTTAACTCAATGCTTAATACTGTATAATTTACTTCTCTGACGTTTATTTCTGTAAAGAGCAAGAGCAGTACTAATCCTACATCACATGAGTCAAGACCAGAACTGGAATTCTAAAAAGCATTTAATGTGTTGAATAATACAGGTTTATTTTTCCTTTCTCAGCAGATATATGGAGCGATCACTCATTTCAGACCGACCCCGACTTGCCACCTGGCTGGAAAAAAATCAATGACATTGCTGGGACCTATTATTGGCACATACCAACAGGAACAACCCAGTGGGAACGTCCTGTCTCCATACCAACGGATCTTCAGAGCTCAAGGAAAGGATCACTTAATTCTATTACCCCATCTCCTACCCCAGAAACTGAGGTAAAATGTAGTGACCTCTTACTACTGAGTATTGAAAATAAATTAGGATCTCTTTCAACCAGTTGCTTGCACATAAAACAGTTAGTAACACAAGCTTTAGAATCCACTACACGTTAGCATCTCTAAATTTAGCTGTTTGTTGACAATAAACCATAAATATTTTTTGTTTTTAATGCCTTTGTTTCATGAAACATCTTAAAGATTTGGATGTGTAGTATGAAAGGAGACATCATATCTAGTACAAAAATAGACAGCCTGTATGTGTGATTAATGTGAAATGATTAAGATTCCCTAGGGTACTGAAGCAATACTTCATTACACAGGTGCAGGCTACATAAAATATTTACACATTAACAGTCTCTTGGCTAGACTCTTTGTAATTACATCTTCTCTTAGCGGTTCAGTTGCTAGGAGTGTCACACAAACACATTGGAAGTTACAGTTCAGTCGGTAATTACTGAATGTATAGCTTATATTAAATATACAAAGCATTCTAAAGTGAAAGCATTTTAGAATCATACCAGAAAAATTATCTGAGCACAAACATCATTCTTTTGTGCAGAATTTTTAAACTAGAAACAGGGTGCCCTCTGTCTTCAAGCATTGTGAAAAAGAAGAAAACTTGCTAAATATTTTTAAATGGTAATAACCCACTAAAATACCCATTTCTGGGACAATCCTGTGGGATAACTTATTGATGTCTGTACATGAAAATATAAAATATACCAAATGAAACAGTAAACTAGAAAAAATGCAGTTCATTTATAATTTTTGAAATATATATATGCTTGGCTTACCTTGACCAGGCAAACACTTAAATATGTGTAACATCACTTGCATGATTTGAGTGGGACTACTCACATGAGTGAAGTTATGCTTAGTGTGTGAACTATTTCAGTTGTGGTTCACATCGGTCAAGACTTCTCTGGAATTCACTATATGCCAGACGTGTTGACTATTAAATGGACAAAGTTAAATGATATGAAGGATGAAGAGTGATCTGTTACCGCTAAGATAATTCTGAAATTCAGAGGAATTACAGGGGTGCTGAATTTAAAGTGCTACCAATGTTTCCAGTGTAAATTTCTGTATTTTAAAGTTTATAACTCAGTCATAAATTATTTGTCTCCTTCTAAAACTTTGTGGTCAAGGTTTTGACTTATAACTGTGAATTTGTGTATTCAGTGTTTTTTTCTTTCACTGATGGTAAAGTAGCTTTTAATTGTAGGACTGACATTTTTCATTTTAATATGACAGACAAGTATCTTAGGGCTTGTCTACACAGTGGGGTGATGCATTTTATGAGTATGTGATTTCTAAAACACACTAAAGAGTTGTGCATTAATTGATCTGGATAGACCCTGCTGGTGCACTTTAAAGTAATGCTGTTTGAAACAGTACTATGTTAAAGTACACTAGGGAACCTTTGGTGTGCACCAGGAAGTTCTACATGGACCAATTAATCTGCAACACATTAGTGCACTTTAGAAATTACTCTCTGTAGACAGTATTACCCTACTGTGTAGACAAGCTATTAAAACATTTGGGAATTACTTTTAATATTAAACTTTAACATTACAGACAATGGTTTGCCATGGTAAAGGAGAATAGTTTTTTTTTCTGATCTTCACATTAAAGTAGCATGTGAAATCTATTAATTAAGAAAACAAAGGTTTTGATCCAATATATTAAAAATCCTGAAAAAGCTGTTATGAATGGTCATGCCAAGACCAAATATCCAGTGCATAGGAGAGGGCCATGTAGATTTTGATACTATGTGGGCACTAATCCTGTAAGGTATCCGCCCAGGCAGAGCATTATACCTGTGCAGATCCCTTTGCAAGATCAGGAACATAGAATGTAGTGTAGAAGTCTCTACATAGGAATTTATATAATAATAATTTCAACCAGAAAGTTCTCAGACAATTAATCTATATTTTAACGAGACTCTAGGTATGTTTCTAGAATAAAATTTTATGCAAAAATATGGTCGATGCCAAATTGCAATAGGAAATTGTCTCCAAGAGTTTCTCCATTTTGTTTTGCAAATTTCTAACACATGATGATTAAGTAATGCTGATTTTTGGATTGGACCAATGTTGAAGCAGCAGTGTAATAGGATACCACACACGTTTTCAGATAGGAGGACCTTGTCCCTGGACTGGCAAGGTCTGGGAACACTGTAGAGGCAGGTAGCTGAGGCCCTGAGAGGAAAGGGATGGGAAGGGAAGGTCGACTTGTGGCAACTTTGGCTAACTGAAGTGAAATGTCACTGCGATATCAGGAATTTTGAAGTTAAATAAAAGATGGAATTGAGGGAGGACTCCAGTAAGTTTTATTTGGTTCTGGTAAGAGGGATAAGGAAAGAAAAACAATGTTATGATGAACTAATCTTCTTAGCGTATGTGCAACGTGCCTCAGATGGCACGTGACTAGGATTCATCACTAAATCTGGTCCACTGGTTGGATCATTAGCTTCCCCGGGTTGGGCTGGGTACTGATGGGGAGTGCAACGTGAATGCTGATCCATGCCCCCCCAATAGAAACCATAGAATTCAAAGTCTAGTCTGTGTCACCTTCCTTTTTATGTTTTTCTTTGGATTTTCACAAGTCTGAAATTGGCACTTGATATTTTTTTCTGTAAGTACCTCAGTACCTCCGGGCAACTCGAGGATAGTGTTGGTCTCAGGAGAATGCCCTCGTTTTTGTTGGGCTGTAGCCCACCCTGAATGCTCCATACACATTTTTTTGTTAAATGTGTGAATGGTATTCTGTGCCTACAGTGTTTTTATTTAATCAGAGAATTTGTGATATCATTAGTTAAACATTTCACTGAATACATGGATTTTGGTATAGAATAATTTGGTGTGGGAGGCTTATTAGTTCATTCCTCTGCATTGTGGCAAGATTCATATAACTTCTGTAGAAAAAGTTGGTGGATTTACAGGTTTCAGATGAATGAAAGAGAGTGAGCTGGAATAAAGTACCACTATACAGGAGACATTCCAGTTCAGCCCCAATATTATCTTTTTCCATCAGTTCACAAGAGTTTGCTTTATCTTTACCATACTTCCCTGATTAGAAACCCCCAGCCCTCTTACACTCTACTTGAGATTAGTTTATTTGTGCTGTTCAGCCTTTCAGGTTTCTCAAATAAACATATATATTTTCTTCCTCAACAACTAATATTCTTACCCTTTTAAAGATCCTTTTTCTCATTCATTTATTTTTCTTTGTGTCCCTGTCTTTTAACTAAAGCGATATTCTGAAGCATTGCTTCAATCGGTAGAAAATAGCCTTGAGTTGAAAGTGATTCTAATTTGACAGATTTCCTTAAGGAAGGCTTGTAAGGAACAAAGACAAAAGTCAGGTATCGTTTCATAGTATACCTTGATATGGATATTTAATACAAGGAAAATGAGTTAATCCAACACGGAGAAGCAGAGAAACATTGGGTAGAGGGAAAATGACACTATTAATGCAAATAACCAAAAAAACATTGGTCCAAATTGAAAAAAGTGGAAAAAAATTAGTGTGTTCTCAAATTTATTGTGTTTTTTTGTTGGTTGCAAGACATTTTTTCCCTGCTTTTATAGCAGCAGATGCTCCTGTGCCATTTTCATCAGCAGAGGAAATGGCTCTGGTGTAATTGTAGGTTAAGAATAATTTGAAAAATCCTGCGACCTGTTAAGAGAAAATGGTAAATAATACTAAATATGTGGGTTTTATATACCTTTTAAAAAAAATATCTTGAAAAGCTGTTTTGGCCATGAACAATTTATAGCGTACTCTCCATTAAGTTATTGAATAAATTTATTTGAGAAGCTTTATGTTCAGCATATAAAATATCCTCTTCCAAATTTTTGAGATTATTTTTATCTTGTTGCCTTTTTCAGCAGTATCAGCAGAACATGGGGAGATACTTTTTGTATTTAATCTGAGCATTTTTGAAGGTTTAAGGTGAATTCCCTAAATTAATCCTTTTGTACCTGGACCATAGATTTTCAGAAAAGATCTAACTGATGGTCTGAATTTCATTAGTTTCTTTATATTATACTAAAGTTTAGTGTGATGTTCTCCCCTACATGGGAATAGCCAGTGGAGGGCAAAGGAAACCACAGGGTTTCACTTTCCCTCAGGGGTGGGATGTATCTTGCCACCACAGCAGGAGCTGGTGGTTTGGTCCCTTTAAAGTATGGAGCTTAAGGAATCCTCAGGAAGCAAGGTTTCTCTCTACTGGGTCTTCCCTGTCCTAGGACCTATGGCTCTTATCGGCTAATAGTTTAAAAGCTAGGAGTTCCCAAGGGAAAGCTGTGCTGATCCTATTAACTACCACTAAATTCCAGGTACAGTTTAACAGGATGACAGCTACCGCAGAAGCTGTTCTGTCCAGGAGTTTCTGCAGCATGGCTGTTTCAGGAACATCTCCTAAAGTCAGGGATCCATAGCACAAGTTAATTCAGAATTAGGTTGTGTTAATTTGGAGTAGGTCAGCCTGAACAGACCTTTTTAATATTGGGGAATTTAATGGGAGGAAAGAGATGGTCTAATGTCATCTAAATATCATATTCTCCCTCCACAGCACTTGAGTACCTTCTATTCAAGTCCATGGAAGTTACTCATATCCTGTGGAGAGAAGGAGAATAGGGACCCTATGATTGGCACTTAAGCTGTGTCTATCCTATGAGCTGGGGCTGTGATCCCCCTGCTTGTGTACACATACTCGTGCTAGCTCTCATTGAACGAGCACCAGTATAAATCGCAATGTAGCTATGACAGCACAGATAGTGGCAACGGAGATGAGTACGCACTCGCCTGAAACCAGTGAGTACGTACTCGGCACAGCTAAGCCAGGCCTGTGCTGCTGCTACCGGTGCTATTGTGGCTACACCACTATTTATACTCACGCTAGCTCCATGTGAGCCAGGAAATCGCACTCCTAGCCCGTAGAGCAGACATAATGTTAAATGACTCCCCTCTGGCACTCTTTGCAGAAACCAGTGCATCTCTCAGCTTGCTGATACTGATTGTAACAGTGTTAAAAATGTGCATTTGATGGATTATATAGCAATTTCCTTATAGACTTTTGAATGAGGTTAAGGACATTTGTTGTTTATTTAAAAAAAAACACACACTCAAGGAAGTTGTGTTAGATTCTTCAGAATTGTTTTTGTTGCAAGAAGTCTGCCTGTGCTCCCTACTAGTCACCTTTTCCCGTCCATTGTCCTTTTTTCTTCCTGTGATCTCGAAATTATTTGACCCTTATGCTGTACATTGCCTTGAATTTCAGTGTTTCCAGTTCACGCTATATTTAGAGTTAGAATACTCAACAAATGAACCCCCGAGAAATGGAAATTCCATTTTTCTCCGAATTGCTGTTTTGTAGCAGGTCATAGCAGTTATGGCCAACATTCACATTCAGACTCATTTTGCTTGCTTTCAAGATCATACCTAAAGAGTAATCTCATTGTCTGTTTTTAATTCATATTAACTTTTCCTTATTCCAATCATTTGTTTTGGTAAGTAACTGTAGAAACATCCCTCTCCCTCCGCCCCCCCACCCCATCCAAATGCCATTGTATAGTGGACTAACTAGTTGAAGTTTTGAGGTGATCTGTTCCCTAACCCATCCTGTAAATATCAATGCTAACAACAGTGTCTTGTTATTTTTTTCTTTTTTTTTTTTATCAATGTGCTTCTTCCTGTGTGAATAATTATATGTCTAGAAACAGCCATGGAGTGATTTTGCTGTACTGAATGGGGGAAAGATTAATAGTGACATTTGGAAGGCAAGTATGTTGTTAGATTTTAGAATATTTAATACTATTACCCTTGTTTTTGCATGGCCGTGGCTGTAATTTTTTTCTTTTCTTTACTTTTTTTTGCTCCACGAATGTCATTCATAATATAGGCCAAAGTAAATGGGGTATTGCTAGGGATATCTAGCACACAAACATGCTGCCATTTTCTGATCTTTGCACTTAGAATGGATTCAGTCTAAATCAACAGGGTAAATATCATGTTGTAAAAATAAGACGCCTGCACTGAATGAAAAATAATTTGAAAATATATGCATGCCTTTTTTTAACTTTATCCGGAAACACTGTATGCTTCTTGGCAGGGAGGATTTTATTTCCCTTTGAAATTAGAGGTAATTTGCTGTATCACATGCCTAATAATGTATTAATAATGGTATGTTTATCTCTAGGACCTTCATGCAGCCACAGTGAATCCAGACCCCAGTCTAAAAGAATTTGAGGGAGCAACATTACGCTATGCGTCTTTGAAGCTCAGGTATGTTGTTTTAAGAAATCTCCATAGAGCGGCCAGCTTGAATATGTTGTGCTGTGCTATAAACTATATTGACCGTAAACCCTATTTTATCAATATTTATTCAATGTTGTCTCATTGTTGCCTTGTACTTCCCTGTCTGTCTGTATCCATCTGTTGTCTCTTGTCTTATACTTAGTCCCTGTTCCAAAGAGCTTACAATCTTTTTGTTCTATGATTGTACAGTGCCACAATGGGGTTCTGAGCTAGGGCTCCTAGACGCTATGGTAATACAAATAATTAATCATAATATTTTTTCATAACAGAAATGCTCCACAGTCTAATGAAGATGATTCCTGTAGCATCAACAGTGATCCTGAAGCCAAGGTCTGTAAGAAAATATTTAAATAGGATAGCAATTAAGCTTGTAATTATAAACAATGCATGCTGGTAGCAAGTTGTTTTCTAGGTTTAAACTTAAATACCCCCTCAAGATGTTAGTTGAAATGGTAATATTTTGGCACAATGCACATAGATTTTAACTATGTGAGTCTCTAAGAGTATGTATATACTGCAATGTAAGCCCGGACTCCCTTCCATCTACATGCAAATTTATCAGACTTGGGCTCGGTCCGACGGTCCAAGGACCCTACGGGGTGGAGGGTTTGAGCCCGGGTCAAGCTGAGACCCAGGGTTTGAGCTCTGTTGCTTTGCAGTGTTGACGCAGCCCCTGCATCTCAGGTCCTAGGAGTCCACCAAAGTATCCCACGATCCCATGGGCCAACTTCCTTTGTCATCTCTACTCCAATCGACTCTAGGGATTTTTTGTCTTGTATGTGCTTTCACTGTTCGTGCTTGTTCATGCCCTTTTTTTTTTTTCTATGTGGTTCTGTTGTTACTGGTGTTTTGATGTGGTAATGGCACCTAGCCTGCCTGGCAATCGGTTAATGCTGTGCTTTTCTAATACACTTATAAATAAAGCTTTTTATTTAATCAAGAAAGTTGATTGCTATCCCCGCATCATATCATACAATGTCCATGTAAAATAATAAAGGTAAATACATGATCAGGGACAATTAGGCGTTAAAACACTATTCCTCAGTACAGTTGTCTACATGAATCCATACTTCACTCACTTCCTTACATCAGTCCCTACTGTAAATCCCTCCCTCCCCATTTCATAAGTCGTCATGTCATTCATAAATAAACTGCATGGCAATTAACTCCTCACCCCTCCCCAAGCACTGAAATACCCCACAATCAATGAGTCCCATCCCCACCTCCACAAGCTCATTCATAAAAGTGTTATTCGCCCTCTTCCGCTGGGCTATGCAAGTGCATAATGTGGGTGCACAAAGCATCCCTGACTTCTGTTGCGTAGGTGCATCCAGCTCCAGCTGTGGTAACTGCACTTTCTGGCTGAGGGTGCCGATTCAGTGGCCCCTTGCTGACATATGTCCATTCAGGGGGAAATGGCTCACCTCTGGCTTCACAGAGATTGTGAAGAGCACAGCACGCTCCAGTAACGTGGACAGCATTGATGACACTGGCATTCAAACGGGTCTATAAACATCTCCAACAGGCTTTCAGTCTGCCAAAAGCACATTCAACATCCATTACACCTGCTGGGAGTGTAATTTTGCCAGGACCTCTGAAATCAGGGTACGGTTTATAAGCCAATGCAAAAAGGAGTATGTGGAGTCCCCCAGAATAACAGTGGGGACAGTAACTCCATTTCTGACAATGTCAGTTGGCGGGACTAGTGTCCCAGCCTGTCCTGAATGTAGATTTCTGATCGGCAAAAAACTTGTGCATCATGAACTTTCCCAGGGCAACCCACATTGACATTCATAAATTGGCCTCTCTGGTCCATAAGGGCCTGCAAAGCAATGGGGTAGTACCCATTGTGGTTTATATACTTGTGCTCCTTGAGGAGGGCAAATGATTGGCACGAGTCCCATCTATGGCCCTGTTGCAGTTTGGGAATCCCATTCTCTCAAAGTCAGCACTTACTTCAGGAATATCTTGTAGGCCCCCCCTTCGGGTAAACCTTACGCCTGATTGCCTCAGAAACCTCTGCCTACAGTCGTCTTTCCAACACCAAACTGGTTGGCAACAGACCCATAGCATTCTGGGGTAGCCAGCTTCCAGATAGTTATAGCCGCCCATTTCTGGACCAGCAATGGTGTTCTCCATTCATGTATCTTTATGCTGGAAGGTCGAGGCAATCTGCTCACAAAGCTCCAGAAACGTAGCTTTCTTCATGCAAAAGTTCTGGACCCACTGCTGGTCATTCTGGTTTGTATGACGATGTGATTGTTCCAGTCTGTGCTGCAGCCCTGCGCCATGAGTTCTGGTCTACGTAGTGGGCATCAGCAGCTATACTGAGTGTCATGAACAGCATCAACCAGTTTGAGTCTGTGATCCCTGGACTCCTCTTCCTGCTCTGCCTGGTGCCTTTGGTGGGTCAGGAAACACCGCCAAAATGTCCACCAGTGTCTCTCAGAAGCTCTGCCCATTTCCTGACATTGGAGTGAAAGTGCAAGCAAGAGCTGTTCTTCAAAAGGTGCCCTCCCCCATGTTGCTGGCTCTGGTCGCTGGGAGCACACAGACCAAAATGTCTGCTTGGCAGGATGTGTTGTTGGGCTGTTCAAACTTCCTGTAATGTGCAGGGTGGAGTCAAGTTTTCCCACAGTGCACTATGGTCAAAGGGCTTGAGCAGCCACATTTCATGAGGGCACCAGGGAGTCTGGTATCTGGTTGGTTTGACTTGGGTCTGTGTGCTCCAGTGTGGACACTGGAGCCCCAGGTTCAAGTCTGTGTTAGAAAATTCTTAATGTAGGGTTAACAATAGGTGTAGATATTCAAGCCTTGTGTTCTCTAACCCAGGGTCAGCTGACTTGAGTCCCACTAAGCCTAGGCTTACATTTCAGTGTAGCCATATCCATAATATCAATGAAAATAGCAGGACTAAATCCTCATTCAAGTGGACTGAAAATATACCCTTAAGAGTGTTGTTTTTTTAAACTGACTAAAGCCAAGAAATTCAGTGTTAGGGCTAGAACTCCTATTGACACTCCAGACTTAACTGACTCCTTTGGTAGTACAATTGAGTTTCACACCTTGAACTGAGACCTTTTTGCTACTGTGGGCCAGGTATCTCCACACACAGGGGTGAATTAAGGACTGAATGTCAACCTAAAGTCTGAAATTATTTCCTTTTGTGTTTAAATCAGACCCCTTGTTGTTATTTTAGTAGAGCTTTGTTTTTTAAGTGTGTGCATGTTTGAGTACATATCTCCACATCTGTCATTTAAGTATTTTGTGGGCTACTTTGATATGTTGTACATGTACATTTTTAGAGATGCTCAAGATCTCTAATTTGAAATCCAAATAATTTATATACTCTTTTCTGCTATGTCATCAATCTACAGTGATCAACAAAGGGAACATAATCTTCTTATATGGTAAAGATGCTATTTAACCGATTTAATAGTTACAATGATATTTCCAAACACACTTTGGGGGGAAATAGACTGCTCAGTGGACTTAGTTTTCTGTTTGCACAATTATTAGTCAATACATGCATTTTGAGTTAACAGGATGATCGTTTAAAAAGCAAGGGTTCGAAAAGGAAAACGTGGTAATCCTAAATTCTGAGTACAGTTTAACAGGATGACAGCTGCTGCTGCAGTAGTGAGAAGCATAGGTCTTCACACACCAGCCAAGAAGCTGGCCTCTTAAAAATAAATTTTACAGGCTGATGTAGAACAAGGAGGTAATATTTGGACAAGTTGGATTCTGCACCAGGTGATTTTGCAAAGGTTAATATTATAAGCCTGTTCTGCAGGAAAGCCTGTGGCAGTATTGCTGTAGGCCACCAAGAAGTTTTGTTTCTTCCATCCCTTTCCCTTGCTTATATGTCTGTTCATGTAGAATGCAAGCTTTATGGGATAGGAACCAGCCTTCGGTATCAGTGCAGCACCTAGCACATGGTTGACACTGTATAAATGATTAATAATAACTGAGACTCATGTTTCTGGGATCTCCACAATGGGCAGGAAAAGGGACCATGAGAAATGAAGTCAGGAATATGAAGAAAAACAACTGTACTTACTGTGGGCCCTTTCTTTTCTGTATCAGTTACTGTAGTCAGAGTTCTTTACATGCTGTGCACTACTGGCTTGTTGAGTCATTATAGTAGTGGTGGTGGTAGTAATGCCTAAATCTCTTGTTCTACCTGTGTGACTTCATGACACTGACATTATTTTTTATTTTTATAGCACCTTTCATTCCTCAAACTTTTTACAAACTACATACTTTATGGACACCATCAGTGTACTGTGCCTATCTATGACACGAGAGGCTGGCAACGACTTACTGCATGCTACACATTACAGGGATGGGAAATGTTGGCCAAAGAGTCTAGGGCAAATCCTTACCCTTATGAAAAGTGCTATGGGATCTCTAATGCCCACCACAGACAGGGGTTTACAATCTGAACCCCCTCACTGCCCAGTAAACTCCATTGTAGTCAGTTTATTCAGAAGGATATAGGGTTGAGAGAACCCTGCTTGGATTTGAAGCGGTGATTTCAGAAAGGCTAGATGCATCAAACTAGTAGTTTTAGCTCCTTAAGCATCCCCTTCTGCACATCATCTGTATCATCTTTGTTAGATTTGTATTATTGATTTTAATGTAACGTGTGGCAGAAAGTACAATTTTCTTCCGTTGATTTTTTTAGGTGAGTTTGTTGATATGTATTTTTTTTCTACTTTAAAGAATTAAAATCCCAAACCAGAGAAATGTTTTATGTTCTAGTTTATTAAAGTGACAGCAGTTTTAAAACATATTTACAAAGAAAGCTAGTCAGCATGTTTTAAATAATAGGAAAAAATTAAGGGTTATTTTTTTAATTCAACCCCCCACACTCACCCCCCAAGACAGTTCTGAATATTGTACCTTTTTCAGCAAAGAAAACTGTTTGCCACCTTGTGGACAACCATGAGAATTATTTTCTTGCAAAACCTATTTCTATAAATGTGTAATTATATTTGAAAGTGTTGGTGCCAGGAAAGAGCTCATAGCTGGTATTCAGATAGTTTACAGGTAAAGTGTGATTCATCAACCAAAACAGTCAGATAATCAGAGTTATCAGTAAACAGAAATTGTTTCTATATGCATTTTGATCTAGGGCATAAATTCAAATTTCAGATTGGGAATTGGATAATTGAGGTTTACCTGTAATAGAGAAGATAGAAAAGCGGAAAAAATGATTGATTGAACTCAACTGATTTATTTAAATAATGTATTTCAGTGGGAATTTATTGAGGAGGAGACAACGCTAGGCTAACCACTAGTTCAGTATATAAGCATTTTGCTTATGGGAATTATCTGTTTATTCTAAGATGCGTGAAAATGAATTTGATTTGGAGTACATAATGGACAGCTGCTCAAATCACAGAAACCGCATCCCTCTTGGTTAATTTAAGGCCCAATCTTGCAACTTGTTAAATGTTACCTGGAAGGTGCTGAAGGCTCCAAACTCTAATGCTGGAATGGGAATTGAGGTGCTAGGCACCTCCCAGGATCAGTTGCACAGTCTGTAAATTCCTGTAGGCATAGGACTGTCTGCATGATTGTAAAGTCCCATGTTTACCTATAGCACTATATAAAAAGTAATATTTTGCCATGACTGGCATTCTGCTCAGAAGGAAGGTGTAGGAATGGCTCAGTGAGGTGGGGAGAGAGAGTGGTGATTTACACTTTGTCTGGCTCATATGGGGTAAGAATCCTCTTCTCTCAACTTCATATGCAAAATGTTAATCTAAAACATAGACAAAAATGTCAGTGTACTTGATGCTAAGCTTCCTTTTTACTCCATGTTTGTTATTTTACTTTTTTCTCATTGAAGGACTGTTGAGAAAGATCTCAGCTAGACTTATTGGCTGTCTAGCAGACCTACTTTACATTCCATTTTCTTGTCTTATTCACACTTAGCAATTGCTGTGGCTGTTGCTGTGATTGCTCCATACTCAAGCCTTTCTCCCTGACTGGTTCTACTTGCCCTCCGTTTCTCTTTTGCAATTGTAAAAGGATGGAAGATGGTATCAGAATCTGGCCCTTAATTTTGCTGAGTAGTACCTTCTGCACAGTTATTTCCATTGAAATCAAGGAGAACTACAGCATGAGAGTCTGGATCTGTGTGTTTGTTTCATGCAGCACTGAGCACATTGTCAGTGTTTCGCAAAAACATAGCATCTTAATTTTCATAAGACGTGGTGATTAGTTTAGCTTTGCGAAAACATTTTAGCACTATGCAAAATAATATTTTGCAAAAGAGAAAGTAAAGCTGTAAACACCTGGCATTGTGCAGTCATATGGTAATGTAGCCACAATTCTTATGGAAGAAGACACAACAGAAAATGTCTTGCCTCTTTGGATATTCAGTCAGCTAGCACATAATGTGCTGATTTACATTATTCGGTGGATTGGCAATCCAAATTCCACTCCAAGGAACTAGACAGAGAACTTTGGCTTGAAGAGAATGGTGCTTTTTCACCAAGTTCTTAGGTATTAGAAGAGAACCACTAGGAAATGAGGCCTCCCTGAAAACCACTCTGTCCCAAAGAATGTGTCTATGAAGTATGCAGTAGCCTGTAGCATTGAGGTCAACAGACTCGAGCTCACTACCACTCTAAAAATAGCTGTGTAGACAGTGCTTTTAAATTAGTGGCTTAGGCTGGATCTCAGGCTCTGAAGCCGACCCCCCCCGCCCTCCATTTGGAAATGGCATCCACCTCTACTAGACACATCATTGCGAAAAATGGCCCTGCAAAATCAATACGCAGACATTCCAAGGGAACTGATGGCCATGCCCAAAGGTGTAATGGCACTGTTTAGGCATATGCTGTACTTGTTGGCATCCTGAAATTCCTTAGCAAGCAGCTATATTTGTTGGTCAGTGCTTGGCCACCTTACAAACTTCGGGCAAGTGCCTTCATTTTTACTATCCTTAGGTGATCTATGTGGAGCTCTTCTAAAATTCTTGTGTGCAGTTTAATAGGTATAACAACACAAATTCCCCACATGATACATGCTTGATGTATGGTAAAATCACCATTGCATGCGTATGGATGCCAGATTAGGGCTGTCATTATATTTACAGCCCTTCATGGTGGCTTCATAAAACCAAGGTAGTGTGGGATCCCTCTTGGTTTCTGCTCAATCACACTACAAGTCACTGGGGCACATCTAATGTGAAACAAGTTGACAAATGCGATAGATTCTGTCTCTATTACAGGTCACTTTCCATCTAGCAAGGGTAGGTGAGAGAGCCCATCTGCATTTGCGTGCACTTCTATTCTTTTGAATTCGATGTCCTAGACGTAACCAGCTAAGAAAAACATCCTAATTGTAAGAATAATAGGACAATGGCCTAGGGAAGTCATGGAATCTCCTTCACTGTAGGTTTTCAAAAGGAGGCTGGATAGCCATCTGTCTCGGATGGTTTAGACACAACAAATGCTGCATCTTGGCAGGGGGTTAGACTAGATGACTCTTGTGGTCCTGTCTAACCCTATGGTTCTACAATTTTATGATTCTAAGAGAGCCCAGTGTTGCATACATGCTGTCATTGTCATAGAAACACCCTTCCTCAGATGAAGGATTGCAACTAGGGGTTGGTGGTCCAGGACAAAGATGAATTTCCTCCCATATAGATATGGTCTGAATTTCTTCACACCCCATACCAGACTGAAAGCTCTTTGACTTTTTTGTGCATAGTTACATTCTGAAAGATCTGGAGGAAAATTCTGTAGGTCTCTCACTGCCATCTGGCATGGTGTGCCATATAACCGTCCCAGTTCCATGTCAGGAAGCATCAATGTTAATTTGATAGGCAAGGATGGGTTAAAGCGTGTAAGCATGTTGTCTGATGTGACCAGTTCTTTTGCTTCCAGGAAAGTGTTTTGTTTTTTTTTGACACTCATGAGATCAGACCCACTTTTGACCAGTTTGCAGTAAACAGTTTAGCAGATGTAATGCAGTTGCTAGATTTGGTATAAATTGGCTAATGTAGTTGATAAATCCTAGAAATAATCTAAGTTGGGACACATCTTTGGTGGTGGAGATTTCAGGGCTCTTTAATCTTCTTCTGAGATTTAAGTAGGCCTTGTGCATCACGAATGTGAACACTGTAAGCTACTGAGTTCTTGAGAAATTTCCATTTTATGCAATTGGCTCGTAATCCAAATTCTTCTAGATATTTTAATACCCTTTTCAGGGTTTCCAGATGTTCTTCATCACATCCACCGGTCACAATAATGTCATTCAAAGAACACTCTGTTCTCAGAATACCTTGCAAAACTTGGTCCGTTGCCCATTACCATAAACAGGAGCTGGAGCAATGCCAAACACTAGCTTGTTGTACTGGTACAGACACTTGTGTGTGTTGATTGTGAGGTATGCCTTAGACTCTTCCTCTACCTCCATCTGTTGGTAACCTATGACAAATCAATTTTGCTGAATCATTGTCCTGCTGCCAGTGTAGCAAAAAGTCTCAAATTCGAGGCAGAGGGCATTTTTCAATGTTCAGTACAGGGTTTATGGTGACCTTAAAATCTCCACACACCCTAACAGCACGACATTTTTTAACAGTTGGAACAATAGAAGTTCCCCACTCGCTCCAGGCCACTTTTGAAAGTATGTATTCTCTTTCCAGATGTTACAGTTGAGCATCTACCTTTGACAGATATTGTAAGGAACAGGTCGAGCTTTGTGAAACTTGAGCTTATATGAAATAAGTCACTGTGGAACCTGTGTCTAATTCCATTCTGAGTGTTTTTCCTGCCACCCTCGGTTTCAAACAGATTGCTAACTTGTCAGTTTTGCTCACACTATCTATATCCGAGCTGGCTTCTGTGTGTATAGATTGATATTCCTTTTTTTATACTGATTTGGTTGCTTCCTTTTTTCTCTTAATATGAAAAACAGCTTGGATCTGACCTTTTTATTACAGCTTCTGCAATATGCATCTTTAAATGGACAATAAGAAGGCAGAAACCTTTTTCACACCAATAACATATGTGTGAGTGGACCAGGGTTACAATTAGTTTATGCATTCCTACTTCTGTTTTAGCTCTGTTATGCAGTTCTATTGTATCCCTTGCCGTAATTTCTCCTGTGCGTTTAAAAATGAGATTTTCCTTAGTTAAAAATCTCTACTGTATGCTTTCATTAAGCAGTCCGCACACAAAACCGTCTCTGAGTGCCTCGTTAAGCCCATCTTAAAAGCCAGTGTTCTGATAATCTTTTTATCTCCGTTGCAGAGGAAATACATTTACCTTCAAGTTGATTCTACTTACGAAACATTAACCTTTCTGCTATCGTCAGGGGCTTGGGTGCCAAGTGTTCTTGAATCATTTGCACTATCTCTTTAAAGGTTTTGCTTGCTGGCTTCTTTGGGGCAATCAGACTGATTACTAAATGGTATATTTTTCCTTTAATCACACTCAGTAACACTTCTACCTGTTTTTCTGGGGGCATCTCATTTACTTCAAAATATTGCTCCAGCCTCTCTCTGTATGTGGGCCAGTCCTCTATGGCACTATGGAAGGCCTTAACGTTTCCAGTATAGCCTTGCGTTTCACCTAGCTGCAGTTAGTGTAGTAGTTTGGAGAACTCTGTTGTACTAGACTCCTTCCCAGCTCTGGGGCTGCAAGCAACATTGTCGATTGTTTTGCTTCTCTGATGCATAGAAGGGGCTTGAAATCCTCGTCGCCAATAGTAGTGTAGGGCGCATAGAGCCCAAATCTCTGATTAGAAACACAGACCAGTACACACGGTTGGAGCCACGATGACTGACTGACTCTTATATTGCAGAGAGAGAGAAGAAAAACATAGTTACCACTAGATAACAACTGATTCAACATAAGCAACTACTTATGAAACTATAACTGCAAATTCACATACACAGATTCAAGACTTTGTTCAATACATGCAAATATATCACATTAGCATTTCTGATTTTTGTCCCTACATGCTTGTGCTATTCTTTTTACTCCTCCTTAGCACAGCCATGTTTCTTTTTTTTCTAGAATTCCTTTTTGATTTTCAGGTCATTAAAGAACTCCTGAGGGAGCCATAATGGCCTCTTGCTATTCTCCCCATCTTTCTGTCCTATTGGGATAGTTTACAGTTCTGCCTTTAATATTGCCTCCTTGAGAAACTGTCAGTTCTCCTGAACTCCTTTTTTCCTTGAGTTTTTCTTCCCATGGGATGTTGCCTACCAGTTCTCTCAGTCTGTTAAAGTCTGCCTTCTTGAAACCCTTTGTCCTTATTCCGCTGCTCTCACTCCTTCTTTTTCTTAGAATCATGAAATCTGTCATTTCATGGTCACTCTCGCTCAAATTGCCTTCCACCTTGAGATTCTCTACAAATTCCTCCTGTTAAAGGTAAAAACATTTTGATTAACCCTAATACTGTACACGATTAACCCTAATACTGTACACTAGCAATACGTACTTGGAATAGGTATCCGGTTGCTGGCTATTTGACAGTGCACACACTGGTTTAGCAGGAGATTTCCAGGTCTCATGAGGCCATTCGAACCACTGAATTTAGTGATTATTGATTGTCATGTGACATTATTGTTTATTACTTAGCAATTTAAAAATCATTTTTCATTCATTTGGGAATGTTTGTAATTTTTTTGAAGAAAAAAATTTCCATAATCTCTGTTAATCAGGTTTCCACACCAGATTAATTTCAGAGTAACACAGTTTGAATTCCATAGGGTTACATTAGAAATGAATGTGCCTGTTTTGGGGGGCTTTTTTGGTAATGATCTGAGTTGTATGAATCGCTCCTTCCATGCCAAACTTCAGTCACTAAAAAAACTTAAACTGAATCACAGACCTCTGAAAATCTAGGGTTTTAATGGAAATGCTGACATAGCCTGAACTGGAGCAGTGTGAAAATGCTATCCTATAAATCCAAGAAAGCAGAATACCATTAATTTAAGTACACCTCTACCCCGATATGACACTGTCCTTGGGAGCCAAAAAATCTTACCGTGTTATGGGTGAAACCACGTTATATCGAACTTGCTTTGATCCACCGTCGTGGATCTGCTCCCCAGACCTATCTGGTAAACACAGTTCAGTCATGATTTCAGTTTATGTTCATCATTTTACATATAATGTTGTTACATACACTTTACTATATTATTGATCAGTGAGTTAATAGTTTTTAAATAATACCTTACAAGGCATATTTTGTACAAAGATTATTACAGTAGTGTGTGGGGTGTGAATACAAGAGTGTATTCCATCACAATAATGTTTTAATTTTTTTAAAAACAGTCATGAGCTGAAAAGTACAGATATATTGTTAGAAAGTAGCAGCTCTTGATTACTCGTTGGTTGTATTGGGAATATTGATTGAAACTGAAGTCAGTCTTGGTGATCATCATACTATCGTTGAAGGGGAATGTTGCCAATGTCCCTGCCAACTATCAATCCCTGTGGCTTTTCAGGGAGTGACAAGGACTGCAGTGTCTAAATTGGTTGTTTGCTTCAGAATTTGGCTGTCTGCCATTAACAGCATTAGGGCACATTCCCTGCCTAAGATACTGCAGGTAAATAATGCAGCTGCTCTAAAATGTTCTGTTTTCAAAAGCACTTTTTTAGGAATAGTGAATTAAAGTGCTAAAAACATATTGTTATAGCAACTAAGAAGCGGGGGGTAGGCACCTTTCCTTGTTGTACATTAGACCCTATGGAGGAAATGCATTTGTTTACTCATTTCTTTCCCAGTTGCAGTGCACTGTGTACTAAATTTCATGGTAGTCAATATTTTATAGTGTCCTCAAATGATATTGTATATGATAATTACTATGTTATGATATGATATAGTTTAATATTGATTCCCATCTACCAAAGAATACCTTCAATAAGTATATTTATTTCAATAAATAAATAAATTATGAAATATGTACTCCCCCAGAAAATTCAGACCTTTAAAAGAAACATTAACTAAAATGTAGGATTTTAAAGGATCAGGTTATTATTGTTATTTAACGTTTATATTACGGTGGTGCCAAAAGGCCTTCAGTAAGAGTAGAGCATCACTGTGCTAGATGCTGTACAAAGATAGACTCAAACTTGCACTGAGTTTTATGCATGGAAACCCCTGTCATTACATGGAGCCCCACCAAAGTCAAGTGTGGAGCACAACTCAGGATAGTGACCATAGAGACAAACATAATGCCTTCCCCGAAAGAGTTTACAATTTAAGAGGCTAACTTTTATTTTATTTATTTATTAATTTATTTATGGTAGGAAGGTCTCGGGTTACCTTGTTTCCCCTCATATTGGGGAAGCTGCAGAGCTGCAGTTCAATTTCTTGAGCCCTTCCTATATATCTGAGTTTTCAAACTATGATAGTTTTAGGGCTAGCTCCTGTGAAGTGCAGAGTGCTCTTAACTCTCAGAAATACCATGTGCCACTGAGATTTTAGATTGTCCATCACTCTGAAAGATCAGGCCATAAATGAATGAGATGGGGGTGGAGGTGGGGGTGGAATTGAGATTTTTAAAGTCCTGACAGAAACACATTGTAAAACTGCTTATCTCAAGAAAGAATATAAAAGTTGCCTTAAAATTGATCTACAATGAGAGAGGCTTTCCAGGTCCGCAATGCATGAATTTATGATCTGAGTTATTATCAGCCGCTAGCAACATTTTCGTGATCAAGAGATACTGTGTGAAGGGCTTGAATTGTTCTGCTGGATTTCCAAGGAGTTGGAAATAGTTAAGATGAAATATGAGAATCTTGTCTCTTGAAAGGCGAAATACCTGGTTGGTATATAACTAACGGTTATTATATGTCCTGAGGGTTTCCATTTATTTTTTGCCAGTGACTGTTGCTGGGATAACTAAAATGTAAAATACTGATCATGTTAGCTTTGTGGGAGCAAATGCTACACTTTGCCCTGAGGTGATGCTGAATTGTGAATATTGCTGATGAAGATGTGAAGATATAGTTAGGCTGTTGATTGGATACACATATGTTAGCTACTGCTGAGCCAGTAAGGTGTCACACTATAGTGCATAAGGCTTTTGACCAATGAAGAACTCCTTATAATATGAAAGAACTCTGTTAGCAGTGAATAACACTTTTTATTTACATGGCTGCACAAATACAGTTATCTGATTTTTAAAAGAAGACGTAGCTCTGGATCCCTGTAAGCTAAGTATGTTTGGGTGTATTTAGCTGGGTTTTCTTTTTACATTTGAAAATATATAAGGAGAGTTCACCATGTACCTCTGTGGATACAATAATGATAGTGTAATGTTTGGTATTGCTTCTGACTGAGTTGTGCCCTGTACTTGTTTTTTCTTGGTTGTAGCATTTTTTGCACAGAACGCCAGAAAAATCTGCCTTCTGACTAAGAACTATCCCATCAGGCTCTGTGTTTCATGATTTTTGATGTGCTCTGATTCAACACAGTAAACTTACTTCTGGACCAGCACTATTGATCTCTTGATTTCTGAAGGCATCTTTGGTAACCAGATAAAAATCAAAAGTAGGAAACTAAAATGTGGCCATTTTCAGCCCCCACAGGGAACAGCATGTGTGCAAAGCTGCACTCACCATTCTGCAGGTCACTGGGGCGGTGGAGGGAAGGGGTCTAATATATTTCTTGACGTGGCTCCTGACTGCTGACAAAACTCACTATTAAACTGGAAGTACAAACTCAGAGCCTCGTCTCAGATTTCTGTTAATGCTCTTCCATTAATCAGCTGGCATGTGCGATAATATATTGGTGACACAGTCACAATTTTCAGTCCTTCCTCCTTCCCTCCCATCCTCCCCGCAATTCCCTACAGGAGATCAATCAAGTCAGTTCTGCAACATGTCTAGTTTTTGTCAGCTTTGGCATTGAACTGACTAGGTTGATCGTGAACTCTCCCTTGTGTACCCATTCATCATGTTGCAGCTATGGAGTAAGCTTGCCGGATTATATTTTTATGTGTGTCTTAATTATTTACAGTAGCTTGCACACTCTGTGTAAAATATATGAAGATGACAACCTGGTCTTTTTTACACAGGTTTTTTTAAAGAGCAGCTGGTGTGTAGAAAACTTGGGAAAACATTCTGTTGAGAGAGTTCTACTGATACTATACTATACGCTTTTCTCTTCTTTTTCTATCCATAATGTGTCAAAAGTGCCATGGCATTTGTCAGGGCTGAATCCCCACTCTGGCACTTCCAGTGCAGAAGGTGGAGGCCCCTAAGGATTTAAAAAAATTAATACTTGCCACTCAAGGCTTGTATTACACTCCCAAGGTTACAGCTTTTCTCTGACCTTGGCTTGGTAAACGCTGTCACTGCCCAAATGCAAAAAAACCCTTTGACCCCAGGAAAGAGCACTTGGGAATTCCTCCCTGTGGAGTACCCTCAAGCCCTTTCACAAACACACCCCCTCTGGGGAAGAGCTCAGAAATAAAACAAAGGAAATTAACTGTTACCACCAGCTAAACAAACAGCATAGGCACAAACCTCTTAGGACACCAAAAATCCAATCCTGCTGTTAAAAAAGGTAAATTTTATTAAAAACAAAAAAGAAAAAAAATACATCTGGAACTTAGGCTTTTGCTAGATTTTAAAAGAGCAATTCCAAAAATTAAACACCCAAACTAGTTTTCTTGGGGGTTCAGCTTAAAGGTTACAAGCAAACAAAAGCCTCTGGGGTTAGCACAGAGGAGATCCACAAGCCAAAATACAAAATAAACCTGATTGTGTCTGTCTAAACATTCCCTATCCAAATAATTTCTTCTAGGTATGGAAGATGAATTTTCATACCTGGTTCAAGCCTTACACAGCATTTCTGCTTATAGCATTGCTGCTCCATGTCTCCTTCCCCCGAGAACAACAGACAAAGGGGAAGTTTTTTTCCCATTTAAAAAAGTTTTAGCCTTCCCATTGGCTCTTTTGGTCAGGTGCACACTCCTTTTCCCTTACCTGGGGAACTTTGTTAACCCTTTACAGGTAAAGTAAGCAGAGAACAGCCACCAAGAGGGACTTGATAGCTAAAAGGGAGCTCTCCTCCCCCCCCTCTCCCCCCACCCTTTCATGTATTACAGCATTGTAAGAAAGTGGAGCTCCCACCCTGCTCTCAGCAGAGAATATTCCTACTGGTTATAGTCCAAACTTTTCCCCTTCCTGGGATTTCTCTTTATTTTTAGCGTAAACAATAACAAAACATAAAAATTAGTCTAAGCATTCTTTCCAAGTTTAGCTATTCCTATATGCATCCGAAGAAGTGGGCTGTAGTCCACGTAAGCTTATGCTCTAATAAATTTGTTAGTCTCTAAGGTGCCACAAGTACTCCTGTTCTTCTTTTTGCGGATACAGACTAACACGGCTGCTACTCTGAAAGCTATTCCTAAGGTTTTCCCTGCAGGGCCTTATCTGCTCTAGAGCATTTCATGGAGCAGATTTTAAAAAATAAATCAATTTCAACTTTTGTGTTGAATGACCCCACAGTAGTTAGGTGACTTTATTCAGTGTGTATTTCTGGGTTCATTTCAATTTTCAGTTTAGATCTGCAGTTCACTTGAAAGGAATAAAGACCTTTTTTATCCAAGTTTTCCCAAGTATCTCAGCCTAGATTAAGGGAAGAGTAATACGTAATAATAATAATCACTTGTATAGAGTTTTAAAAGCACTGTACAAACAGTATCTGGTTAATTCTCACAACACCCTACTACTCCTAGATGGGTAAGTATAATTACCTGTGTTTTACTGATGGGGGTGAGATGGAGATATTAAATCATTTGCTCAAAATTGATGGCAGAGCTAGGATTACAACTCAAGATTTCCAGGCTCCGGCCCTGTGCCCTGTTCATTAGGAGCCTGATCGAAGCCCATGGAAATCAATGGACAATGACTGACTTCATTAGGCTTTAGATCCTGTCCTAGACCACTTTGCTACCGAATACGTGATACTGTAAACATTATTTCTAAAGAGAGGGGGTGAAATCCTTCACTAGGGGCCCTATTGAAATCAATTGGAATGTTGCCATTAACTTCAGTGGAGTCCACATTTCACCCAGGATTTCTTAAAGTTTTCTATTGTCCATGCTAACTTTAAAATGAAATGCAACAGTACTGAATATATGCTGTGGTTTGCTTTGTAATATTTTATTTATGTCAGTCAGATTTCACCATAACACACATAAGCAAAAAACCAACTAAATAAAGCCAAAATAATATAAGGAAACCATGTAACAGTAATTACAAAACACATTCTTTCATACCCCGCAGACTCCAGCCCTGAGGGGTTATTTTCACTGACAAAAAGAAGCGTGTTTTTTATTGTGGGATAACAAATACATGTTAGCTAGCCTGCTGGTAAAACATGATAGAGACCAGGCACTGTAGTTGTCCTGAGAGGTAAACTAGGCAAGGTCAGTCCCAGGTAGGGCGGGGGGGGGGGGGGGAGGGTCTAGTGCTGACTTCCCCTAGCTACCTCATGGTGAACACTACAACTGCCTTGTCTCTGCTTAGGATTTTACAGCGAGATAACTATTCTGCATTTATTATCTGACTATTAAAAAAACATCTTTTTAAGTAGTGAAGACAAAGCCTCGAAGTTTGACCTTCATAGAGTTCTCTGTACCTCAATGAGGAGACCAGAGATAAGGATGGAAAGAAATGTTCCAGTGTGGTGGCACTGTCACATTCCCCTGCCTTGACAGAGCTGGTTTGATTTTCTGTGGCTTGAGCTCACCTCCAGTGCGTTGGTGAGTGGCTGAGACAGAAAAGTACTAAGTTTGAAACAAAGAGCCACTCCTGCCATTCAGCACATGGAGATTCTATACATAGAGAGAAATGAGAGATTCTGCAGCGCCCTTGATGGGAGCAAGGGGTTAACAACGCAAAAAGAAAGTTAAATGTTTAACTGCAAGGAGACCCACACTCGGTTTATTATAGCGGTTATTATAGAATATCTGCAAAGCCTACGTGTTCATACTCACAAGAGTTCAAACCTTCAATATGTTTTAAAAAGGATGTGACACAATTTCTGAATTGTAAAACTATGTGTTCTCTTGGTTTGAGCATCTGTGTATTTGTATATGATGAAGGCATTTCTTTTAGCAATACTCATCTTAGAATATGAACTGTGGTGGAAGCATAGAAATGGAAAGAAAAATGTGCTTTTTGAGTCTGGCATTTTGATTTTAGGTGACTGAGAATTTTAATGTGTTAAATTTGTCAGGATATTTCTCTGAGGCAAAGGTTTTAATTGCAGTCTGTTCCTGTCAATTATAAGGAAGTGTTCTCCTGTTCTTTAATTGCATAGAATCATTATATTCTTCTGCTATACAATTTAGCTTTGATTATCACTAATATTTTCATCTTAAGTCAATGCAAACTTTCTTTAGTATGTTTCAGTCTAGTTCATTGATGTATATGATTTCATACAACCATTCTGCTATAGGATCTTAGGCACGTTACTTGCTTCTTAAATCAATATAATTTTTTTAAAATTTTATAAATAGAAGGCTAAGTGGAATCCTCTGGATTGTGCTGGCTGCATCAGAAATGGTTAATTTTGTGACCTAAATAGTTTGCCTACGTCTGTTCAGCGTTCTGTGATAAAATGACTTGCTAAATAATGTAATGATATATGTAGAAAGTCTCCAGGTAGGAGAAGTAACCTTTTAAAAAAGACACTAAGGGAAATTGGCTGAGTATATCAGGCTTGATGTCTTGGGTGATGTAAGAAATAAAGAAACTGTGAATAGCCCAGGTTTCATTAGTGAAATGGGGGATCAAAGACAATGTGTTCCGATTATGTAGATGTTCATACTGGATTTTGCATGTCTATCAGATGAAATCAAATTCATCTGTATTTCTAGAGCACCCATCACGGTGGTATTTTCACACACATACATTCCAGTCTTTTCATTTCATTTTCATTTACAAGAGGCTCTCTTCTACCTTTACTCCTTCCAGTCTAGTCTATATGTGTTCTTATGCCTCCCTCATAACCATAGTATCTAAGCACCTGTCAGTAGTGCACTAATTTACCTGACTAACATCTATCAAATGTGGTTTGTTCATGCTCATCCTCTCCCCAGGGGGAGAACTGTGTGTACAGTAAAGTGTTTTGATTTGGTGTGGGTTTTTTTAAATAATGACTTTAATGTACATATTGCTATATATGTACACATTGGTATATGTTTCTCAGAGAAGGCAAGGTTGCAGGAGTGCACCTTGAACTTGGAGTTGAAGGTGATCAGGTTTGCATAGGTTCTTAGTTCCTGCAGATGTTCATTCCATAGTCCCGGACTGGTCCCCTGAGAATCCTCCATTGTCTGTACGACTGAACATTTCCCCTAGGGTAGAAAGTCCCATTGTGCTTGAGGAGTGAAGTTGTCAACCCTGGATCTCATCCTGGAGCCTTAGGAGATCTTTTAGGTCTGTTCTCTACCATTTTAGATGAGGGTATTGAAACATTTTATGGTGCGGGAGTTTAATTTCTCACTTTCCTTTGGTTACCTATACTTAGCTCCCACTATTAATTGGATTAGTAACCAAGGACATTAATCTATACACTCAATGCTAAAACTAAGGAATTAGTGCCATTTTTCCATATCCTACCTACTTTCCCCACCATGATTTTTTTAGGGGAGGAAAAAATTGTGGGGTGCTCCTCATCCTGTCCTAGGAGTTTTTCATTGCGGTCCCTCTAACTCTTCATCCCACTTTTGTGTGTCCTCTACACTCTTCCAACCCTTTTGCTTTGTTGTTCCTTCCAAGATCATACTCCTGCTGTTCCAGAGCAATGTCGCCTAGTTTGCTGCACTCCTTTGGAAGTACTCTCTGCTCGGCCAATTGAATTGGTTTAATTTTCTTTGCAGAGAGTCCTTTGTGGACTAGCAGGAGTAGGGAATGAAAGCTCCAGTCAATGATACTGTTCTGAAGCTTTGGCCTTCCCTTCTACAATAGAACATTAAAATTGTAGGGAGGACATGGGGAAAACGCAAGATGCCCATTGCCTATGCCAAATTAAACCTTTGGTACTATACTTTTGGATGAAGGGAGTTGTTTCATTCAGTTTTAAATGTTTTCATGAATATTATTTGTGTATTTATAGTGCCTTTCATCCCTCAATATCCCAAACAGGATCCAAAGGATCTGAGTACAATATGTAGTTTGCACATCCTACAGTCTTTCCTTCATCCTGCTGTATTTATCTTCTCCTTTCCCTGTTTGTTTGGTCTGCTTCAGACCTAGGATTCCTTGACAGAAGGATCTTGGATCTGAACTAGAGAACCTAGTGAACAGGCTGAAAAAATGTATACAGAAGTTCATGTGGTTTTATTTTGTTTATTATTAAAGCCACACCTCAGGAAGAGTATGTGGACTGTGTTTTAGAGCAGGTGGGCAAGTCACCTGCTCACACCAAGTTTATGCGAGTATGGCTTTCTTATTGCACGAATCCTTCAATATATGACTATTTTTGTTTTAAGAAAGAGCACAAAATTCTGTTCCTGTAGATCAGTGGTCCCCAAATTTTTTCTGTCGTGCCCCCCCTTACCCACCCTGTGACAGTGCCACCCATAAGGCTTTATGGAAATATATATAACATAACTAGAATGTGTTTTATGCTACATATGCCATGTAACATATCTCTGTAAAGGTCATGATCTACTGACTCTATTAATCCTATTTATATGCATGTATCATTTTGGTATTCGGAGTTATGAATATTGGCTGCATACTTGTTTGATTCTAAGTAGGCTGTAGTGAAGCAGTTGGTCAGTTTCCTGAGAAAAGACTGTTCTCAGTAAGTGCCCCGTCAAGAAAAACTTAAGCCAACAATGAATTTGGAGACACCAATCCACATCTGGACTTTCCCAGGAATGTGGCTTGGCTGGTAAGGAACTCAGTCATGCATGGACATATGACTTGCCCAGGTGACTTCAATACTCCATTTTGTAGCTGGACTTTGCATAGGAGACAGGAGGAGGTCTCCACCCACGAGAG